AAGAACCAAAGAAATAGGTAAATAGCTTCATTTTGAGGAGGATTAGCATGAGAAAACACTGGAAATCAACAGAAGAAAAATGGAAAACTTATAAAGTCCAGAGACTTGAGACAAAAGCATAGGAAGAGAAACAAAAAATACCAGTCCTACCCTGGCTCCACAGCCAGAAGAGTCTCCCTACTGTCTCTACCACTGTCAAAACTTTGTCAGGACAAAGAAAGATGTTAAGTTTACAAGAGAAAAATGCCAAGTCACATTTAAGGGGAATCTCATTGGACTAACAGGTCAGTAGAAATGCGACAGGACAGGAGGGCATAGAATGACATATTTCAAGTCCTGAAAAAAGTAAAATAACAGTCAATATTACTATACCCAAAAAGGCTATCCTTCAGAGATGAAAGAGATATAAAGACCTTCCAAGGTAAGTAAAAACTAAAGGAACTCATGATTAGCAGATGAGCCTTATAAAAAATGCTTAAGCAAGTCTTACATCCTGCAGTGAATGATAGCCATCTTCATAATAACACATGAAATTACAAATCCCACACAAAAGAGAAACAGAAAAGAAACATCAGTATTGTAAACCATGAAACCACAAAGGTGAATAAGAGAGGAAGAAATAAACAAAGACTATTCAAAACAGCTATAAGAAACTCAACAAAATGATAGACATACATCCATATCTTTCAGTAATTACTCTGAGTGTAAACAGACTTAATTCTCCATTTGAAACTCAGCACTCAGGAGGCTAAAGCAAAAGGATTGCAAGTTCAAGGCCTGCCTACACTACATAGTGAGACCCTGTCTCAAACAACAAAAAAAGAAGGTACAGACTTCCTGAATGAATTAAAAAGTAAGACCAAACAACATGCTGCCTACAAAGAACTCACTGGTAAAGACACACAGAGAGAATGAAAGTAAAGGATGGAAAATGATATTCTAAGCCAATGGAATTCTAAAGCAAGCAGGAGTAGCTATATTTACATCTGACAGGATAGACTTTAGCACAAAAACAATAAGGAAAGGCAAAGAAGGCCACTGAAAAGGGAATCAATTCATCAAAAAGATATGATTGCAAATCTGTATCTGTCTAATAATAGAGCACCACATTTTATAAAACAAACACTATTATACTTAAAGGAAGAGACAGACTACATAACAATAATAGTTTAGGATTTCAGTGCCCAGTTCTCAAATGGATAGATCAGCTAGACAAAGCAAAAAACATCAGAGTTAAACTACTCTTTAGATGAAATGGACTTGACATGTACAGAACATTTCTTCCAACAGCTTGCAGACTACACATTCTTCCATAAGCACATGGAACTTTATCTAGAATTAGATCATATACCAGGCCACAAACCAAGTCACAACAGATATTAAAAATGGAAATTATATTCTGCATCTTTTCTGGTCACAATATAATGAACCTAGAACTCAACAGTAAGAGAAACTATAGAAATTATACAAATGCACGGAGAGTGACCCACACACTTTTAAATCAACAAAGTATCTTTGGAGAAGTCAGGCAGGATTTTTAAAAATTCCTTAAAACAAAGGAAAATGAAAACGCAGTGTACCAAAACCTATGCTAGGATACAGCACTTAAGTCTGCACTAACTGTGAAGTTTATAACAATGAGTGCCTACGTTTAAAAAAAGAAAGATTTAAAATAAACGACCTAATTAAACATCCCAAGCACTTAGAAAAGCAAAATCAAACCAAACTCAAAGTCAGTAGAAAGAAAGAGATCATATCATAAAGATCTTGGCAAAAAATAAATGAAGTGGCCTCTAAAAGAAAATACAGTGATCAGTGAGAGAGAACTGGTTCTCTGAAAAGATAAATAAAACTGACAATCCTATAGCAGGACTGACAGACAGAGGGAGAGAAGGAGGGAGGAAGGAGATCCAAATAAATAAAATTAGATATGAGAAAGGAAAAGGAGACATTACAACTAATATCACAGAAGTACAAGTATCATTAGGGACTATTTTGAAAAACTACATGCTAACAAATTAGAAAATCTAAAAGAAGTAGTCAGATTTCTGGACACATGACCTATAAAAGTGAAATAAGAGGACGTTAAATAGAAACCTGAACAGACCAATTACAAATAGATTGAATCAATAATTGAAATATCCCAACAAAGAAATGTCTTCATTGATGAATTTTTTAAAACTTTTAAAGAACTAGTACCACTGCTTCTTAAATTATTCTGTGCCCTTTCAAACTAATTCTATGAAGTCAACATTATCCTGCCACCAAAACCTGGTAAGGACAACAATTTAAAAGAAAACCAAACCAGTCACTGGTGGCTTACCCCTGTAATCCTAGTTATGCAGGAGGCAGAGATCAGGAGGATCATGGTATGAAGCCTTCCTGGGCACATAGTTTGAGAGACCCTATCTCGAATAACCCTTTACAAAAAAAAGGCAGTTGGAGTGGCACAAGGTGTAGACCCTGGATTCAAACCCCAGTACCACGAAAAAAAAGAATGAAAACCATAAACTAATATCCCCGCTGAACATAGATACAAAAAGTCTTAAAATCTTAGCAAATCAAATTCAGCAGCACATCAAAAAGACCATACAGGGCTGAGGGGGTGGTTAAGCAGTAGAGTACCTGCCTATCAAGCATGAGGCCCTTAATTCAAACCCAGATACCACTCCCCCAAAAAAGATCACGAACCATAAAAAAGTGGGTGTCATTCTATGTTTGCAAAGATGGTTCTACATTTGTATCACATCAGTAGAATGAAGGATAAAAATCATGGTCATATCAATAGATGCAGAAAAATCTTCTGATAAAATTAAAGATCCCTTCATAACAAAAGACCTGAATTGATAAATGAATTCACTGAAGTGGTAGGACGCAAAAATCAACTTTCAAAATTCAATAACTTTTCTAACACTAATATTAATTTACTGAGAAAGAAATCATGAAAGCAATCTCATTCACATTAACCATACAAAAAAATACTAAAGTACTTACAAATAAACTTAACAAAAAAGCAAAAGAATACCTCTACAACGAACATTACAAAATGCTGAAGAAAGAAATTGAAGACACTAAAATGCTGGAAGATCTCCCATATTCATGTGCATGCTACCCAAAGTGATCTACAAATTTATTACAATCCCTGTAAAATACCAGTTCTTCACAGAACTAGAGAAAGCTATCCTACAATTCATATGGAAGCACAAAAGAACTCAAATAGCCAAAGCATCCTGAGCAAAAACAGAAGAGCTGGAGGAATTGCAATACCTGATTCCAAGATGAACTACAGAGCCAGGGTAACCTTAACAGCATGGCATAAAAACAGATACAAACCAAAGGAACAGAATAAATGACCTAGAGCATCTGCAGCCAGCGGCTTCTCAACAAAGATGCCAAAAACATACAGCAAAGATAGGATACCCTTCAAGTGACGGTGGGAAAATTGGATATCTATATGCAGAAGACTCAAACTCAATTCCTATCTCTAAGCCTGTGCCAAAATCAGATGCCTTAGTATAAGACCTGAAAGTGAAACCACTCAAAATACAGGAGAAACACTTCATGATATTGATATAGATAATTTTCTGGATAGGACTCCAAAAGCAAAAATTAACAAATATGACTACACCAAACTAATTTCTAGACAGCACAGAAATTAGTCAACAGAATGAAGAGATGATCTACAGGACGGGAGAAAATAATTCCTTGCTATTCATCAGAGGTTTAATATACAGAATATATAAATAACTCAAAAAATTATCAAAAAGCACCCAGGTGATCCAATTTAAAAATAGGCAAGTGATCTGACTAGATATTTCACAAATAGCCAATAAACATATTAAATAGTGCTCAATATCATTAGCCTTCAGTGAAATGCAAATCAAAACTGCAGTAAGATTCCATCTTACCCCAGCTAGTATGCCTATTATTTATTTTTTCTTTTGGCGGTTCTGGGGCTTGAACTCAGGGCCTCATGCTTGCTAGGCTTTCTAGGCAGGTGCTCTACCTGAGCCACTCCACCAGCCCTTAGTGTGGCTACTATGAAGGGGAAAAAATGCTGGCAAATATTTGGAGAAAAAGAAACTCATATGTTCTTATACTCTTATCCCACTGTTCGTGGGACTATAAATTAGTGTGGCCACTATGGAACATAAGTTAGTGTAGTGCAAAGTGTGGAGGTTTCTCAAAAAACTAAAACCATATGATCTAGCTAATAAAGAAAATACGGCATGTATGTTCAGCCATAAAAAAGAAAATGCTGTTAAAGCAAAATGGATGGAACTGGGGGATATCGTGTGAAATGAAATAAGCCTTATACTAAAAGCTGAGTGTCTCATGTTCTCATATGTGAAAACTAACTTGAAAGTAGAAGAGTGATTACTGGGGACGGAGAAAGGTGCTGGAGGGTGAGGTGGAGGGGCAAGGTAGAAGAAGTGTGGATGGATATGATCAGTGCATACCATATGCATGTATGGAAATATTGTTGTGAATCCATTAATATGCATGATTAGTATGTGTTAACAAAAATAGATACAATAAAAGTAAAATGGGCGGTGATCAATTCTCAGCATCACAATAAATCATTGGGTAAAGAAGTAAAATGGGCAGTGAGTCTTGCCATTTCCAAAGGTGAAGAAGTTAAACTCCAAGTGAAGACATTGTCCTATCTGCCTGATAGATAGGCTGGGAAAACCAGGTAAACAGCCTTACACACAGCTGTTCGGACCTCTTGGCCTCATCAGCTAGGAAAACCTTAACGGCAGTTTTTGGTTTTGTTTTTCTAATTCTCTCAGTCGAAGAAATGGATTCACTGGTGTGTATCACTTTTCTTCATAGTCTTTTGGTCTGCGGTCAGCCACATGAGCAAGAACCAGTATGGCCTTTGGCATTCTCCTCGCATCACGTGGTCTTTGGAGTCATCCTGCAGACCTTCCCATTGATATTTACATTATCACTCATGGAGAAGACCTATAAGTAATTGATTTTTTCCTTTCCCTCAGGTGCAGTCGGTTTCAGTCAGAAATCAAACGCTTGAAAATTTCATCCCCAGTTCGCGTTTGTCAGAACTGTCACTACAACTTACAGCACGAGAGGGGTTCAGAAGATGGGCCTCGGAATTGTTGAAGAGACCGTGGCCTGGAGACCCCTCTCCAATTCCCCATCATGGCTCAAAGGCATCGAACCGTCTCCGTTTACACGGCCCTTCATACTGCATGTGTGGTGTGAGCAGTTCAAAGGAATCAGTGGATAACGGGTGGAGAGTGCGATGGGGCAGGTGCTGTCCAGATGGACAGCACAAGAAGAATGAAACAAGGCAGTTACCAGGAGCAACACTGTTCAGATCCACTTCTCCCCGTAATGTAGCTGTCTCCAAGAGAAAAATCCTCGCTACTTACTGTCGCTTCCTGCATCTCATTTTTATAGAGCCACTCATCCTTATTTGGAAAAAGAACAAAAACAAAAACAAAAAAAAGGCTTTTAGAAAATGGTTGTAAATCTGACTTCTTTGCAAGTAACTGTGTATATTGTAAATAGGTATAAAGGCCTTTTTTTTCTAAATAAGGACCTAACTGCCTGTAACATGAGACTTCAAACTAAACCACTAACTCAATGAAGTACTTATGGTTTGTCTAACATCTCTCACCAATTAATTATAAATATTTTTTTTAATCTTTAAAGGCATTATCTGTGGTCTTACTTTTTTTCTTTTCAAACCCGCCTGTGTGCCTGGTATCATTTCTTTCAAGTTGCTCACAGTATCTCCACTTAAACTAGGCTAATAACCAAAATAACGCGGACCTTCTTTACGAACCAGTGTGGGAGAAAAGAAATGCAGCCATAAGGTAACCGGGAAATATTTGGGCATCTTGTATCTGGCTACACACCACCTCAGTGTTCTAATGTAACAGACCCCTTTCAGGCAGCTCTGTGGACTGCGTGGTCAAAGTGACCCTTCCTAACATTGCGTGAAGGGTGTCAGGTGACCAGTGTAGTGCAGCACACGGCTCTGCCTCAAGTAAAGGAAAATATGCATGTAACCCCAAAGTAGCTTCTCTTGTATAGAGCATAACAAGTATGTGTCTTCGCTGACACTAAATGTTCTAGTATAGCTTATTTTCAAAAAAGATTTAAACAAAGTGTACAGAATTAACATTTAAACCTTGTTGTAAAACTGGATCATGTCAGAACTGCTTTAAATTAACCTTTCCCATTTAATGCCATCTACCTGAAAACAGTGAGATTTATACTGTATCAATGTCTATTTTTTTGTTTTTGCTATGAATATACTGACAGTATTTTAATATTTAGTTATTTAATTTGTTCTAGTTGGATACAGAACACACAAGTCCAGTGGGATTAAAACTGGTGAGGGCTGAAAGATAAGTTTAATTTACAGAAAAAAAAAGGCTTTGGTGATGGGATTTTTTTTAAATGTGTGTTATGTACATAAATATAAATATATATATATATGAAATCAAATAAAACAATTAATCTAGATTTTAACATTTTCAGAAACTTAGTGATAATACTATGAACAATTCTAAAAGCCCTGTGATTTGAAAAACATAGGATCAGTGATGGCCCAAGAAAGGATAGGCCGTCACACCCTCGCGGAGGTATCTTGCAAAGGACAGTGGCTTTGGCTTTCCCAACTTTTTCATCTTTAGGCCCTGGTGACAGGCACACTTATGCACTAAAATGCACATATATGCACATGTGTTCAAAAATAGGCATTTGGTACAACAGTGATCTTGTACCTAATGGGCTGAAACCAGCTTAAGAACAAATGTGTTCTTCCTGATAACTAGCTCTCCAAGAGAAAATATAAAGGCTGCTTCAGTGCCTTATGTTTACTAAATTTAAATCTTTATTTACCTAGGTTTGAGCCTATACTCTATTTATGATTACATAGCAAAATTGATTCAAACACTTCATTCCTAAAAGTTCAAATACACTTGTGAATAAAAGGATTATTGGCATTAATCCTTCCACTTGAAGAGAAATTGTGTTCTGTTTTCCTTTCTGTGTCTCACTCCTCACCTTCCCCATCACCGTCTTACTCTAGTTCTCAAAAGTGATGCTGATGTTCACTGGTTCACATAGCAGCAGGCTTGCCCTGTCTGCCCTCTGGAAGCGTTGTCGCGGTGTTATGCTACACTTTTTAAGAAGAGTCGTCCTCCTTTTGTCCATGAACCACGTTTGTGTACCCGTACCCAATGCAGAGGTGTTCTTTAAAGACTTGAATACAGGAATGTGTGTTTGTAGATACTTACAGGTTATTCCTCTCTGTAATCTGAAGTTTCATTGGATGAACACTTTTAAACTTTTCCAACACAACTTCCATAACTAGAAGGTGGCAACCAAAACCCTCATGATAGTATTTCCTCTGGCAGCTGGTGCTGTGGGCAACTGTTTTATTCAGTCAGGTTGTTTTTTGCTTCTAATGCAGAAATCACAGAATCACTCACACATACGAGTACACTCACAAACATAAACTAATTGTTTCTCTGAGTATCTTTCTGTGTTCCACGTAAGTTTGTTTACCAACATATGTTCTCAACATGTGCATCCACCTATGTGTGGTCTACTCTTTGTGTGAGAGGACCTCACAGGGCACCTGCCTGATCTTTGTAATTTGTCTGTTCATCCATCCTTCCACCCATCCACTCATTTCTTCATGAATTCTTGCATTTGTGTGTAGTGTGCAAGTGTAATGATGCCATGCTTTGGAAGCAGAGAATAGCCGCCCATAGCAGCCAGCCATCTGGATAACAGCAAAACACTCTAGATAAGTTATTTTGCACTTTCTTATGTATAAAGTTGGTAGAAACTTATTTTTGCTTTGTATCATTTAAATACATTTTGTTTTGGTAAATGAACTGTGTATAAAATATTTATGCTGTTAAAACTGTTTTTAGAAAGTTTTTAATTTCAGCAAGTTTGGTTACTTGTTGCATGACCATTAACACAGCTGACTTTTTGTGTCAGTACAATGTATATTTTTTGTCCTGTTATTAACTTGTAAGCCCTAGTAATGGCCAACTATTTGTACAGCAGCAGAAGTAAATTGAAGATACTGGCTAAGACTGGATTGATTGTGGACTTTTGTACTATATTGCAGAATCCAATATCTGTTTTTTGGTGGTTATGTAAAAGGCCTGAAGAATTCCTATCTAGTGTGCAATCTGTGATATCTGAATGTTCATTGTATATCTGTCTCTGATGCAAAAAGGTAGAGTAACACAATTACAATACATGGTTAAACGCAATAGTCCAGGTACTTAAGTATTTTTTTCATTTCAAATAAATACCTACTATTTACCACAAAAACATTTTTAAAGTTGTTTTAAAGTCAGTTCTTCAGAGGAAAAAAAAACAAAATGAGGTCTAATAATTGTCTAAACTTTGCATAGTGTTTTCTAATTGTGAAGGTTTCTCTCATCTCTGCTTAAGATTGCAGAGATGTTGGCCCTCGGGGTTCTAGTTCAAGTTTGTTTGGTCCATCCTTAATGAGGCTTCCTGCATGCTGAACTTCCCAACTGTGCTGGATTCCCAGAGCTGATGACTGTGTTTGAGTGGAAGAGGCCAGTGGCTTCTAGGAGACATGTCTCAAATTTGGGCCTATCAGAAAAGACCTTTTTGTATGATTTTTTTTTCCCTTTTTTCTGGAGCATTAGTTCCTGTCCATCGTACTGTGAAAAGTAAGCAACAGTGTGTGTGTGCCTGTGTGAGTGCACACATGTGTGTCCCATTACTGCCCCTTTTCTGGAAGACTGTGTTTTGAGTGGAAGAGGCCAGTGGCTTTCTAGGGAGAGATGACTCTCAATTTGGGCCTATCAGAAAAGACCTTTTTGTTATGATTTTTTTTTCCTTTTTTCTGGAGCATTAGTTCCTGTCCATCGTACTGTGAAAAGTAAGCAACAGTGTGTGTGTGCCTGTGTGAGTGCACACATGTGTGTCCCATTACTGCCCCTTTTCTGGAAGTCCAGCAGCTACAATCACCAGCTGGTCTTTCCAGTTCAGCCTTAGTGAATGTTAGAGTTCACAAATCCAATGTATTGTCAGCTTATTTCATTTTTTCAGGAAAGGAGGATATAAACACTTTTTAAGTTTACTTAGACTGTTTTGATGATTTTACTTTGCCTCTTTCTAAAGATAAGTTCTTTTTAAGATTGACAGTAGAACCTCAAATCAGATATTTTGCTTATTACAAATTATACCTCAGTGCATTTCTGCTGTGGTGGTAGAAGATAAAGAAGCACCATGAACTTCTAAAACAGCAGCAGTTTATTTAAAAAATAAAGCTAATGGTAAGAGAAGGCCAGCGGAGGTCCCCATGTCTCCATGCATCATTACTCATGACTCTAAATGACCTTGTTGCAGTCATGGACGGGCAATGCAAGATTCTCATGCAGAAATTCAGAGTTTAAAAGAATATACAATTGATCTTCAATAAGTGCCTTTCTCAACGTATGCTTCACACATTCAACAAAATTTCTCTACACCTCATTTTTGGCCATTTGGAGCAGCAAAGATGAAGTCTGATGGAACTGACCCAACACTGGCTTAGTCTTTTTGCTTTATGACTATTCTCATTCTCTATCTATTGCGGAGCTTGTTTTATATTTGTTGGCACTTTTTTTTTTTTTTTCAGCTTTTTCTAGCGATGACACCAAGCCAAGCCCACCACACTCAGGGACTGTGGTATTTGGGAGAGCCCCAAAACAGGAATCAAGCCTAGGCTCCTGCTCTACCCAGCTTGGGAGTTCATGAAGCAACTTGTTCAGCACCCTCTGCATTGGGTTTCCTGTGTCAATGCCAGCCTTTTTTAAACTTTTTGGTCTTAGGACTTTGATCCTTAAAAACTGTTGAGGATCCCAAACAACTTTTCTGTATATGACATATATCCATCAGTACTCTGTGGATAGTAAAGCTCAGATATAAAAATAGACACAGTCACAGTAACTTATTTTAAAATAATGATAAAAACCATTACATTTTAACATAAGTTGCTTATTTCCATAAATTACTTTTCCAAACAAAGTAGAATGGAGTTGTTTTTATAGTTTTCAAATCTATTGTCTAGCTTAGTAGAAGACAGATGGAGTCTCATATCTGCTTCTGCATTCAGTTTTCCCTGATTCACTGTTTTGGTTGAAGCAGATGAAGAAAATCCAGCCTCACATAAATAAGGGCTTGAAAAGGGAGAGATATTTTAATAGCATTTTCAAGTAATTGCTTCCTAATACTTTCATGCTTCAGTTTAAGGGGGTGTTTTTCTGTTTTGGTGGGGTTGTTTGCAATACCGAGGAGTGAAGCCATGACCTGTATGCCAGGCAAGAGCTCTACGTGAGCCACCTCACTAGTCCCTTTTGTTTGTATTTTGTTTTGGAGACAGGTCTAACTTTGCAGGGGCTGGTGTGCAAACTTGTGATCTTCCTGCCTCCAACTCCAAGTACCTAAGATAATAGGCAAGTGCTGGCACACCCAGCTATAGTTTGTTCTTAAAGACTGATTACTATAGAAAATCAAGTTACAAAATGAATTTTTTCGTACTCTATTACACTAAAACCCATTGGTCCATGTTGTACGTTTTTTTGTTGGGGGGGAATACTGCGGTTTGAACTCGGCACTCAAGCCATGCTTCCAGCCCCTGCCATCTTGCACTTTCAATGTATCTTTTACCCATCCGTGGTTTTATGGCATCATGCACTGATGAAGGAACTAAATACTGGTTTGCTGGTGTAACAGTGAACTATATCACTACTGCTGTAGAGTATGCAGATCTTTCAAATGTTGACATATAATACCAAAAGCACATTACATATTAAAATATTACCAGCAGTCTCAGGAAATTCTAAGTTACAGGGTGGTACATATAATTTCCCCAACATTCAAATTTTCACTTCAAATTTAAAATTCTATCATGAACAATACTGTCATTCTTTTTGAAGTGACAGTCTCACTTGGTTAATTATCATGAATGGGTCTGCCAGTGGGGCCAGTGGCTCCTGCCTCTACGCCAGCTACTTAGGAGGTTGTCACCAGAAGGATCATGGTTCAAGACAAGTGTGTGCAAAAAGTTCTTGAGACCCTATTTCAATAAGGAGAAAAGGGGGTGTGTGGTGTCATCCCAGCAAGGGCAGGAAGCTCAAAATAGAATGATCACAGTCCAGGCCAGCCTGGTCAAAAAGTGAGACCCCATCTCCAAAATAACCAGAGCAAAAGTTTGGAGGAGCATCTCAAGCAGTATAGTGCCTGCCTCATAAGTGTGAAGCCCTGAGTTCAAACTCCAGTACCACCAAAAAAAAATTTTTTTTTAAAGAACACATCTGCCATAAAGTGAGGTCTGTCAGTTGCCCTCTCAGTAAAAATGGGGGTTCTACAAGAAAACAAGCCAGTGGCACCACAACCCAGTCACACATGCTCTTCAGGACACAGTGGAACTTCAGCTTGCGGGTGCAGTATGGGAGTTCTCATTTGCTATCACAGCACTTAAAGGTCAAGACTAAATAAAAGCCATCACTATTACTGCTTCTCGAGGACATTCTTAAGTGACGCAGGCACTTGTTTTATACCGCCATGCTTGGCAAAGAGAACCTATAGCTACTGCTCATGGATTGGTGCCTCCATCTTGGTTCATACTAAGCTTAGCAGTTTATCCAGTGCTCGTGCACTGCAGTACAAATGTAATGGAAAAGGCAAGTAAGGTATTATGAAAACAGTCTTCATCATGCAGACCCTCTAAAAGGGTTTCTGGATTCCCAGGGGTCTAGAATTTGAGAACCACTAGTGCAAGGAATTTGAGAACCACTAGTGCAAGGAGATGATGCATGGGATGCTACCTAAACTATGGAGTGGCATGCGTGCAGTCCCATTTGGTAGCTAGGTTCCTAATCACACACCTGGAGCTTTCAAGTAGGCTCCTGCTGGAACCTGCCGAGTACAAGGCCAAGCCCCATCACACTGCACTGGGTGTTGACGGCTGCATCTGACTGCTCAAACGCCACTTCCATGGCTCCAAGCAACACAAAAAGCACATTCCTGTCTAATAATGACTTTTGACAATCACATAAGTCCAATCAGGACTTTAAATTTTTGAGACGATAAACTGTTAATACTATTATTTTAATACGACATGCAATTCTAATGAATATAATACACTGGTTAGTCTGGGATCTGTTTCTGTCCTACCACTTTTGTGTGATCTTGGGCAAGTGACTCATCCTCTTCATGTCTGAGTTTCCTTCTATGAAAATGTTGTACTGTGACACCTGTCCCCAAAGAACTGTTACAACGATTACATCTGCTAATATAGGCAGGAAAGGCAGTGCCTGATGAGTACGTAATTAAAACATTAATTTGGAAAACCGAACACACAAGGGGTGGTGCACTAAAGCACTAAATGAAGGCTCAAAGAAAGCCAGTGGCAGGGAGTTGTCCTCAGTCACATACACAGAGGGCAGAACAGTCAGGCAGGAAGAGCTGAGGAAAGTCCTCAAGCCCAAACCCTCACCCAACACAAGAGGGAAAAGTATGCCAAAAGTCTTTTCACTGCAGTTGAATTCTCAACTCTGTTGAACTTGGTGACTCCCAGTCCTGCTCTTTGCCCATAGCTCCTCAGATTGCATATCCCAGTTTTCTTTTAGATGACCGCATTGAAAGTGTACTTGGGATGTTATTTCAATGTCAGCCACATATAATCATGCCCTGCCATATCAAGCAGATAAAGCATTAGAACTTCAGCCTTGACCTTCGGCTAGCATACATCCTTCTCACCAAGGCAAAGTGAAGTTGCAAGCGCATTCCCGGCAGAGGGCAGAGTTGTGTAAAGGAAAGGAGCCTGGTCATGACTGCCCTCGTGCACTAAGACAAGACAGACATCAAACAAGAGCCATACCCTAAAAGCACCACTTATACAGCTGAGTGGTAAGAACGTGTGCTTACATGATAAAGCGAGAGCACACAAGGGAGGGGTGAGGATAGGAAAGACACCTAAAAAACTAGCTAGCATTTGTTGCCCTCAACGCAGAGAAACTAAAGCAGATACCTTAAAGCAACTGAGGCCAATAGGAAAAGGGGAACAGGTACTAGAGAAAAGGTTAGATCAAAAAGAATTAACCTAGAAGGTAACACACACGCACAGGAAATCAATGTGAGTCAATACCCTGTATAGGTATCCTTATCTCAACCAGCAAAACCCCTTGTTCCTTCCTATTACTGCTTATACTCTCTCTTCAACAAAATTAGAGATAAGGGCAAAATAGTTTCTGCTGGGTATTGAGGGGGTGGGGGGAGAGGGAGGGGGGTGGAGTGGGT